ATAACATTTGACAGAACTGGCCTAAGACAAAATTATACAATTGTAAAATTTGGCTGCTTTATCCTTTTTTACATTGGGTCAACACCCCTTGGATTTCTCAAGCATGTCAGCAGTATTGGAGTGGACCATCTTTATCTTTTGGCCTCAGTTCCAAATATCCATTAGTTTTTATAAACCCTATCTTTTTGCGGTTGACTGAATATGTCATCTGTGCTAGAGGCCCACAATTAGTCTTCATGAATAAGAGTTTATTACCATTACAGGAAGAACGGGTGCACAAGTGTCATCCTGAAATGGGGTGTGTGGGTATGCGAAAAGAAAATCCAGGGTGAACCATACTCAGTCTACGAAATTCAGCTAAATAGATTGCCAAAAGACAAGTTTTATTTTATTTTATTTTAGCCTCTTATTGATTTGTCTGTGCTGCCAGGAATGTTTATCACTTTGTCAACTAGTCCTTTAATATGCGATCTTGTTATTATTTAGGAAATGAAACAAAAACTTCCTTTGGCATCACGATAATGAGACATTGCTCTTTATGGGCAACTGTTAGGGATTTTAGTAGCCCACATATCTTTGGTTCCCTAGGTAAAGGCTTATTGATTTTTCCAGCACTTGCTGTTAATGCTTGATGTTTGGCAATGGAGTCTCAGTCTACACGGGGGAGCTGTTCACAGTCAGCATAATTATTAATGGGTTGTACAATGTACTTGAAGCTACTGGTACTTACACTCTTACAATGTTACCAAACTAAACCTTTTTTTTTAATTTTATTACTGTTACAGTTAAGGCCATAAACACATGGTGATCCCGTTGGAACCTATATTATATACAGTAAGAAGTTACAAAGTCAGCTCCCGAATATGGGCCTGTCCTAAAATGTGTTCAGAGTAATCAGTGGGATCCTGCATTACTGATGGCAGAACCACTGTAAGATACAAGCAGGAAAAAGGCGTGATTTTTCTCTTAACACCAGTCTCTCTCTCTCCCCACGTCTCCAGATCCTTCACTGTCCTGCCTTTTTTCCAGACCTTAGTAACTCTACCCATAGTCTCTATCAATGGAAATGCACTCCCTTTCCTATTTGTCAGTGATGTAAGTATTTCAAGGTTATCTGAATCAATCAAGGTTTTACAATAAACCTTTAGTGGTAGCTTACTGGGTCTGGTGAGCTGATTCAGAACAAAGCACTGGTAAGGAGGGGTCACCCACGAAGAAATTGGAGGGCCTGAGGAAAGAACAGAAATAGAGGAAGATGACCAGATGGTATATGTCCAAAGTGAAGGCAAGGTTGGTCATTTGGGCTAGAGTACAGCTTCCTGAAATGTGTCCTTTGGACTCTTGGAACAGGATCCACTTCAGGTCCACACCAGCCATTTCTAGAGCCACAGACTTTGAGTAGGATCAGTGGTTCTCAAACTATACAGGCAGCCAGTGATCTCTTTTATTTTTACTTTATTTTTTGAGACAGGGTTTCACTCTTGTTGCCCAGGCTGGAGTGCAATG